CCGATCTCCCCAAAACCCCAAAACCCCGCATCAGCTGTTTTTGTTAAATAAGCTTCAATCATATAATTAATTAGAATATTTTTTTGAAAAAATTATAATGACATGTCGAAATTAAAATTCTCTCGAAAAGTTCAATAATTCATTCCTCTTCTATCTCAATACTTATTTGACATATCGGAATTTTGAATAATCTAAATTTAAACATTTTCCTTTCATTTAACGCTATCTTTCAAATTTCATTTTTTAATCTGAACTTAGAAAATTCTGTTTGTGTATTAGTGTGGACTCTTTCATGAGATATTGGCGTTTAATCAAATGGTATCACTTAATCTGAGAAATTATTAGAATTTTTCAGTCTATTTTGTTTCTATAAGTGCTTTACCTTGCTCAATTCATTTGAGAATATCTATCCTAAATTCGAAGCTTAGTGAAATCTGATTTAAGGAGATTCATCGATATTTCTAATTGAATTAGAATTTTCATCCTAATTGAGTAGAAGTATTCGCTCTGAAATATTCGTCTTGCTTTTTTGCTGCTTTAAAAGTGATTTTCTTCGTTTTTTTATGTGACAAATGTTGTTGATGATAGTTCTATTTATATGGCGATCATAATGACAAGAGAGACGGTCGAAGTTATGATTCATTTCATTGAGGGCTTTTTTAAATCTAAAATTATCTAGGTCTGCCAAAGTATTCTTTCTTTGATAATTAATCTATTGAGGATGAATGGTATTATAGCTCATAAACTATAGGCTAATATACTAACTTTTGTTAAGAAGCAACTTTACACCCATTTAGGTTTGTTTTATAATTTTGATTATATATCCTATATCTAATATCTTGTCTAGTTTCTTTGAACCGTTTTGGTAGTAATTATACTTCTTGCTTGCTCGTTTTTTGAATTTTAAGTAAAAAAATTGGCAAACATCTCTCATTCCTTCGTATTTTTTATCTTGGACTCTTTTTGCAATTTCATGTTTTAGAATTTCCTTATCAAATTGACACTTTCTATCATGCTGATGATACTTACTCTTACTAGCATCTTAATGAAAGTAAAAGATATTATTCATTAAGTCCCAATAGAAAATTTATCTTTTGAATGTTGAATTTAAGAACCTGAAGAAAAATGTCAAAAAATTATGATACCCTCCGATTATAGTGAATATACTGATTATTGTGTAAACACTTTACTCTATAGAAATCTCTTATTGATCACACATTAGATATAAGTTAAAGACGTCTTAAGATCCAGGTTACTAGGCAGCATAGGTAGTTTTTTAGGCAGATATTTTTAGAAATTCATATTCTTTTAGAGTTAAAATATCCAAAAACGGATTATCTTTTACATTCAACTGATTAAGTTGTAAGTTTAGTTATTAAACCTGATTGAATCCGTAAACTGGATTATAGAACTATATATTAACCTCACTCTTTATAGACTACGAGAAATCATCTGCATCGAAATATTTATTCACAAATGCTACCATAAATTATACCTTATTCACAAATTACATAATTTCTTCGTTAGATGCACAATCAAGACTCTCAGAATCTGGGATTGAAATTCCAGATTCTGATCTATTTTAACAAAGTTCAACCTTGATATTTAAGAAATTCTACACTAAACTCATATCTTATCCTTGTATGTTAGCTTCAAAGTCAGATATGCAAGCCCAATTACTTTCCAATAGCCCAACAAGTTAAATATCATTTTGCAATCCCAAGAATCTATTTTTAGTGCAAGGTTAGCTTCTTATTTTGATTTAATTTTTCACTAATGTATCAATATCTAATTATTGGCTGCTTTTATAATTCTGACTGAATTGATCAAATGTAATGTTCAAATAACGAGAGATATTAATGTCTTAAATGCTTACATTGTTTGAAGAAAAATCTTAATATCATACTCCAAAAGCAATGTCGAAATTGTTCAGATTAATTTTATAGGATTATTTGTCATTTAATGCACTAATGTATTTACTTTTCGTTCTTATCTAATAATCTTTATCTATAACTTTTACGAGAAGTATGAAAAAGAGTGCAATGACCCAGCTTGCTTGCATTAGAGTGAGAAACCCACCCATAAATGTTTGATGCTAATTCTTGCCTCTATACTTAAAGCCAACAGTTTCTCCGTATCGATCAGCTCTTCTTACTAAGTCAATCATTTTTAATCCAGTTAAAAGTTATATTTATTCTATTTCCTATTAAACTAATTTAATTAGTTCATTAACTATAGAAAAAATTATTCTTTATTTCACATTTTATTTTCGCACTTTTATATTTTAGACATATCTTATTTATACTAAATTAACAAAAAAACTAGCAAATTTGGATTCTCGGGGTTTTGGGGTTTTGGGGTTTTGGGG